TTATTGTATTGCATCACTCAACTGATGAAGAACATTGAGGTAGTACTACTTCTTATTAATGGCCTGGAGGGGTGTACTCTTGATGGATAACACCTTCCCAATCAAAAAACACAGTTAACATGGTCTTGATTTTGCACCTTCTTTAGGCATGGAGAACCAGGTGACTTCCATTAGGACAACTGGGCCTTTGTTTCCAGATCACAGCCATAGACCCACAATTCATCTCCAGTTATGCCCTTCTTTGAGGACATCTGGTTCATTGGTAGCAGTTTGAATCAAGTCATTAGCAACTGCAGCACAATGTTCCTTCTGCTCTGATAGCAGGAGCCATGGAATGAATTTTGCCATGACAGTTCATGTCAAAATCCTGCGTCAAAATCTCAGACACAGTAGTTTTTGGAATCCTCAGATCAGCTCTGGTTCTCCCACTGTCAGTTGCTGATCTTTGCTGGTTGCAGCCTGTACACGTTCAACATTTTTAGGTGTTCTGCTTGTTGCAGACCTTCCAGAATGTGGATCATTTTCAACAGATTCTTGACCATCTTTGAAGCTTTTCTGCCACACTTTTATTTGTGCTGCTCTCATTTCATCATCCCTGAAATCCTTTTGAATTATCCAAATAGTTTAGGCAGAGGAATGTTCAAGCTTAATGCAAAATTTGATGCAGATTCATTACTCACTCAATCATTTTGAATGCGATAGCCACACAGTAAACATGCTCACTCAGTGGTGCCTACTGCCCCCACTGACTAGTACAGTGAAGTTGTCATTGTTCACACATGCACATTCTAGTCCACTCTCCTTGCTGCTAGGTTACATTGATGTTGTGCAAACCATTCTCTTATATTAACAATGGCTGGACTGTTCTGGACAGACCTTGTGTATGCCTCCCATATACAAGCTACTCAATAAACACTGGTTCCCTTGCTCCCTGGGTACCTATGGCTGGACCTTGGTTGGAACAAATGGCACTGGCTACACTCATTCTGACTGATCCATGCCCATGCTGGGTTCATTGTTAATTATTTCACCTGTAAGCCCTGGCTGTGGGAATGTAAGCACATTTTCTTATAGGACTGACGTGGATGGATACTCTTACATGCACAAACCAGGGATAAGTTTAAAGTATGTTTAAACAGGTGAAAAAAAGTTCATATTGAAATTATTTACAAAACAAGACATTGCAATTTTTTTTAATGGGTCAAATTTAAATTACGGAAACAAAGAAACCAATGTGAGACACAGGCATTGATTTGTTGCCTCTCAAACCCGCCCGGACCAAGATAGATCTTGCAACCGAGGTATGTGCCCTGGACAAGGAATTGAACCCACAACCTTCCGGTGTACAGGATGATGCTCCAAACAACTGAGCTACTCAGCCAGGGCAAGATCTTTTCTTCATATTATGACAGGAACCCCTGTTAGGAAGTTAAAGGAACTGCCACTGACCATGGTGCTACAATGCATTCTAAGAACACTGGTTGGCCATGGCTGGGTCAGGGGGTACTTCCTAAGCAGCTGTGGAGCACAGAGCAGACCCATAGTCCCAACTCGGTGCTAGGCATGCTCTCAGAGTATCCTGGAAGGGATCCGTGGCATATACCTTGGAAAGCCCTTCCAGGTCCTGGAATCTAGTCTCCATAAGATGTTTTTTTCAACAAGAGATTGTTATACTAATAATTTGCATATGACACCTAGATGAATTTCTCAAATATAAAATCTGCATAAAACTCTTTGATTTTTCATCTTTAGTTCTGAAAAGTGACTTCTAAAAGATCACAGTTAATATTTCCATCAAAATGTCACTTAAAAACGCCACTTCTCCAGCTCCTTGTGTGTTTTCTGCCAGTTACCTACTATGAAGTGTCTACGAGATGTGGAGAAATACCTAAAGCAATCAGCTATCTTTCCTTTGACCCAGGCGCAGTTTTACACAAAGATCAGTGTTCTGTCGGTTAAACCCAACTGCATGAACTTGAACATCAGAGAAACAAATTCCCTATGACCCATTTTTTCTGAGACACCAGGTTTCAACCCTCCTCAGTTTCCTCTAAATGTGGGCCTGTTCGAAGGCCCTCGCTTTTGAAGATTATGGCTCATTCTCAGTGGAAACTGTGTGACATACTTAAGTTGTGTTTTCTTCATGACCATATGGCTCATTTGCCAAACTTAGCTATCGCTCTTTACTCAGTCTGATTTTACATCTCTGTAAGACATGTATATTTAATATTTAAAATATTGCATTTCAAATTCCATCAGCCAACATTTTTCAAATGCCCATTTCAAAAGAAACACAATATAAGACAAATCTCTCTAGTAAAAGATCATATGTGCTGTTAAGGAAGGCAGAGCACACCCAGATGAATAAGGGATACAGTTTTTGGAAGCAATAAATTGACAGATGCTAAGGAATAATTTTCAAAAATGAAAAATGTTCAAGAGACACTAGAAAATTGAACAAAAAAACTTCTGGGAGGCACTGAAACTTATTTGTGGTTTTGATAAGGACAATTTTGGATTAAAGAAGAATTGTGAGGGGATATGCTAGATAAAGGGGAAAACTGACTTTTGTGCAGAGAGAGAAAAACGGACTTGAATGCAGATAGTTGGAGAACCATTAAGACAATTAGCTCATTTTTTAAAATACTACTAAGATTTAAGATAATAGGAAAACATATTTAAAAAAAATTATTATATCTAACCCTACTAGAAGTAAACTTCTTTCTTCTAGTTTACTGAAAATCCCACCTACTTTTCCTCAATGCAGATTAGCCCCAAAATGTCCTAATATTCATTGTTCAAAAAGTCCCCCCTAAATTTTACTTGCTAAATAATTTTTCATCTAATTCATTTATATAATTTTTGCCTTTATTTTTAAAAATGACACTACATAATTGTATACCAGGCAAAGTTTGGACACAAACTGACTCCCTCTCCATCATCTATTGTCGTTTGGGTTTTTTTTTTTTTTTTCCTCTTAAGTGGAACAAACTTTCCTCTGGAGAATTTTACTGCAGGCCCACTTGCCGTTTATGGTCATGTTAGAGATAAAACCTCATCATCTCACGTCAGCACTAAGATTTCCTAAGTGCCGTGAGGTCAGGGCTGAGGAATGGAAACTGCCATCTCACCGCGCGCTCTGAAACGGGGCCTGGCGGGGGTGGGGGTGGGGGCATCCTTTTATTGCTTATCATGGACTGAGAAACGGATGGATTAAAGCAGCGGAATATTTCAATGATGTAGAAGAGCAAAGGTGACTTCCTGTTTGGTTTTAGGGGTTGTTTCTTTCTCTCAACGAGAGCTGTGTTTTCTGACATTCTGTAATCCTTCTGCTCAGTGGTTTCCCACTGAAAGGGCAGGGTGCGAGGGCCTCCGCAGGTCATGCCATTTTCAATAGGGCCCGAAAGCGGGGGAGGGAGAGGTGGCTCATTAGTGGCAGGAATCAGACCAGGAGGGGATCTGTTTTCTATTTTCTTCTCTAGACTGAACTCATTTGGATGGAAAGGGTTTTATTGGCATCATCATCATCATTATTATGTGTGGTGTACTTTTTCTACACGTTTCTCTCGAGCGTTAGGTGAAATTGTTGGTGAGGAGAGTCAAATAATAAGTGCCATTTTATTTCAGTGAGTAAAATCAAGAATAAAAATGTCCAAGTACTTTAAAGCAGTTGGTTTTCCTTCTTAAGCTTCAAAAGCAAAACTCAAAAGTCCTGTCTGCAGGGCAAAGAAAAAAATTAAAAGAAAAAACATTTCCTTGCTTTTGGTCTTCTGCTGGCCTATTTGCAATTATGTACAGCATTTCTTCTTCCTTTTTTTTTTTTTTTTTTTTTTAATGAAAGGCAATTTCCCTCCATTAAGTTACTCAAAATGCAGACTTCTGCAGTTAGGAGCTCTGGTTGAAGGCCTCACCATTGCCACAAGGGTCCGTGTTTTCTGCAACTTGGACTTTTAAAGTGGCTTGGCTCAAGTCTCTTTCTCCCCCTTCCCCCGTCTGACTCTGCAGAGCTCTAGTGATCACAGAGATAAAGCTGTAGTTTGCTTTGCCTGGGAGTGAGGGGCTAGGTGGGTTCCTAAGTGGGGAAAGGGGAGGCTCCTCAGTGGAAAACTTGGAGGGCCCTTGAGTAAGGGGTTGGAGCCTGCGGGAGCGGCTCCGCACTGTGGGGGTGGGGAGAGGCGCAGGTCACAAGTACGAGCCGTCCTGGGTTATCGCGTCCTCAACCACTGTCTCAAGGATTCCCTGCCCTCCGACTCCAGTCAGAGACCATCTCTCCCCAGATCCCTTCCTTCCTGGGAAGGGGGGCAGGCATTGCAGGGCTGGGTCTGCACCGGGGGTGGGAGCTGCCTCTCCGGCCTGGAAGTAAGAAAGCGAAGACCCGCCAAGTCCCGGGCGCAGACCTCCCGCTGCCCCTCCGGCCAACCGACCCGCCGCAGCGGCGGCAGCTCACGGCAAAAAACGGGATCTTTGGGCTCAGCTCTTACTGCACCTCTTCCCCCATCAGGAGACTTTCCCCTCTGGTTTCCCTTCCTTCCTTTCCTTCGTCTCCCCCCATATTCCCTCCGCCCCGTCTTCACTTTGGAGAATTTCATGCTTCTTTTCGGACCTTCTTGTAGTCCTGGGGACCTGACGCCCCAGAACCACAACTACCTCCCTTGAATTCCACTTTTGTTTTGATTTCTCCCTCGCTTCCTCCTGTTCCCCTCTCATCCGATTCATCTGCGAAGTCTGACGTTTCCGCCAGAGGGGACGATAAATAAATAGATGATGCTGCTCCAGAGGGTTTAGACGTCGGGACAGGGCAGTCGGAGCGGCAGGGGCGGCAGGGGCGGCGGCTGGGGCTCGGCGGAGCTCGTGGGACCCCATTGGGGGAATTTGATCCTAGGAAGCCGTGAGTGCCGGGGGAGGAGAAGCTCCGGATCATTGTGTCCAGTTCCAGTGGGGAGGAGGCGACGGCGGCGCGGGCCTCTCGGCGTGCTTGGCACCGCGGCACCCTGCCCCATCCTGCCGGGATCATGGTCTGCGGCAGCCCGGGAGGGATGCTGCTGCTGCAGCGGGCCGGGCTGCTCGCCCTGGCTGCCGTCTGTCTGCTCCGCGTGCCCGGAGCCCAGGCTGCAGCCTGTGAGCCCGTCCGCATCCCCCTGTGCAAGTCGCTGCCCTGGAACATGACCAAGATGCCCAACCACCTGCACCACAGCACCCAGGCCAACGCGATCCTGGCCATCGAGCAGTTCGAAGGTCTGCTGGGCACCCACTGCAGCCCCGACCTGCTCTTCTTCCTCTGTGCCATGTACGCGCCCATCTGCACCATTGACTTCCAGCACGAGCCCATCAAGCCCTGCAAGTCTGTGTGCGAGAGGGCTCGGCAGGGCTGTGAGCCCATCCTCATCAAGTACCGCCACTCGTGGCCCGAGAGCCTGGCTTGCGAGGAGCTGCCGGTGTACGACCGCGGCGTGTGCATCTCTCCCGAAGCCATAGTCACCGCGGACGGAGCGGGTGAGTGACCCTGCCCGGCCTCTCCCGCGTTTCACCGCCTGCTTACTTCTTGGAGTCCTTCCTGCAAACCTTTATTCTCTAAACCTGTCATTTCAGATCTCTTCTCTCCTTTTTTTTCCCCCTCTTTCGCCTCATCACCCTTCCCATGGGATGCACTCTCTACTAATAGGTGATGTGTTTCTCTAAAAGTTTATTTCACTCCCCTCACACTTCTGCTCAACACTGACCCTTTACTTTGCACTCTTTGCACGGGGAAGTAACCAGACCTTGTACGGTGATGCTCTTTTCTTAATTTGTTTACAATCACTGAGCTTTCTAGTCTTTCTAGCCTCTTGCTTTCTCGATCATCCGTTTTCCGTATCTGTAAAGTTTTAGATGCTTGTCAAGATTGTATGGTGAAAACACCATTTTCTTCTAATCATTAAAAATGCCAAGATAATTTCAGTAAACTTACTCTGACCCACAGATGCTAGTGGTATGTGTTTGCTCAAAATCCAATTTGAGCAATTACCTTCACCTTAAATTTCCCTCTCCTTTCAATGAGATAAATTGTTCCTCCATTCCAGACTGAAACAGCTGTGAGACATTGCTATGCACTGCTAATTAGCTTCTGTGACTCGCTCCAGCCCCGAAGCTGGCAGAGTGAAATTGCTGGGTGCATTTCACATTCCCACATGCCTTCCAGTCATTTTGTAAATGACATATGGATGAAAGGAGTTATATTTAAGGCATGTTATCATCACACACTCATGTAATGTTATTTTTAATCTCACCTTTTATCCCACTCTTACACTCTGCAAATAATTTGTGTTTGGTACCTTGTTTCATGCTCTTTCTCTGTGTGTACTTCGATCTCACATCCACACATTCGTTTCAATCTTTCCCTACCATAAAACTTTATTGCAATTCTACATTTAATGGAACTAACCACAAGTTAGTTTCTTGCTAGTGTTTGGTCTCATTATGACAGTCCTAACTCTTAAGACCCCAACTAAACCTAGTTCATTATGGTCCATTTAATTCTAACTCAGTATCATACCTAGCAACTAACCCAAACTCAAATTTCACCCTTCATATACTTTAGAAATAAACCCGGTCTTTTATGATTGGTCCTTTTTTATACCCTTCCCAGATCAGCTCTGTTCTTGAATGTGAGGACATGACTGTCTCTGTCTCTCTTCATTTCTTGAGCATTTCAATGTGCTGCTCAGCCTGAGGTCATGTCCTCAGCCAATTTCTAGCTCATAGTTCTTGGTTGTCAGGGAACTGATTTGAAAAATTGCTTTTAGTGCATATTAGGCACTTAATACAAAGAGTGGGGAGGGGAAAAGTACTTGTACAAGTAGCTGCAAAAGTAAAACTGAACAGAAACATTTCAAGAGCTTTCTGTTGGTCACCTCACTTAGTTATCACTCTTTGAATATACATACTGTCTTCTTGATTTTAATCAAGAACCAAGAACTGGTCATATGAAATAATCAGAAAGAAATGAATTTGTTATTAATCTTTGAACTGAAAGAACACTCTTGAGCTTTTGAACTCACTAGTGTCACAGGCTGTGCAGACTTGGGAAGAGATTGGTGAGTTGCTGCCCTGGGCTGCCAGGTACTTAGAATCAGTTAAATGCTGGTGTTCATCTCAGGCCAGGGTCTAGGAATGAGGTGCTTATGGTCCACACTGAAATGCATTCCTCCCCTTAAAGGAGAAGACTTGCTCTGAAACCTCTCATAATTGGCCCCCAAATGAGAGAGGTTTGGCAAGGTCAATGGCTCTCAAAAGCCATAGTCAATATGGATGGGAAGCAGTTGCCTTAAGTGTCCCTGAGTTACCTATCACTGTGGACCAAACACAGAACAATTGCCTCATTGAAGCACTCAAATAAATAGGACATGCATGGAAACAATTTGTCAGTCCATGGGACCTGGACTGAGCTGCTTTAAAATGCCATAATATCTGCTTTGCTGACAGCATCCTTGCTAGTAGGATAAGTAGGGGTAAGAGGCAGCTGGAACCATATTTTAGTCATGTTTTTCCTCTCCTCCCCCCTCCCCTGCTTTTACCTTCAGTGTGAATCAGACTGTTGTAGCAGGAGGGAGCTAAAGGGGTTTTGGGGATGGGGAATGGAGGGGTGGATTCTAGCCTGAAGGGTCTCCTTGGCTTCCAAGGCCAGCTTTCTGAAAATTACATTCCCTGTCCTGGGTCAAACTCTCAGGCACCTGGAATTGCTTAGGAACTACTACATGTGGCCAGTTTAATTTACGATGCAAATATACTCCTTGGTTCAGTGGGATATGATAGTTCATGAGGCTGGGCTTCCCCACCCCCCCTTCCTCCAGGTATGAACAGAGTCCCTATGTCTTCTGACTAGAATCCAGCTGACTAGGAAAATAAGGTCTTCCTGAATAAAACGGGACCACCTTTCACATTGCTTCAATGCCAAGAAGATTTTTTAAAATCCTATCATTCACGTGGGGCTGTTTTCTTCCAGAGCAGTATGACTCCACAAACAAGTTCAGTACATTTTACAAAGCAAGTCTTACTGCAATGGAGTATTGCTTCAACCTGCTTTTTGCTTTTGAAATACTAAGAGCATGTCATATATTTATAAAGAAAAGATCACATCCTGACCACTACTAATAAATTCACATGTAATTTATTGTTTTTCCACATTTTACATTTACTATATGGTTATGACTAGATGCAGGACTGTTTTGTCTGAGAATTTTGTCAGTCCGACTTAGTCATTCAGCCAGTGAATTAAGACTTTTAGGTGAATCTTTATACAGTACGGCGAGCAAAGAGTATGGGCAGACCAATGGTTGACTCTTGGTTCTGTTTCATGTCAACTGTTACCATAGAGAAAGTATATAACTTTTCTGATTCAGAGTTTTCTGACCTGTAACATGGGGGTGATACTGTCTACATCTGATGGGCATGGTGAAGGTGAAATTAAATAGCATGTATATTACCTGGTTCTTGGCCCTTAACAAATCGCTGTTGCTGCTATAGCAGTTTTAGTATGATTATCATTATTATAGCAAATGGCCATCTTTTTCGTTCATGTGTTTTGTTTTGTTTTTGAAATGGCACGTTGGTCATTGTAGATAGAACTTTGGTCAATTCAGCTCTAGAAAACAAGCTGCACAGCGGGACCTGACCAGAGAAGCAGGTCTTCTTCTGAAACACAAGTTTAATATTTCTTTCTATACCAGTTCACCTGGACCTTAGGCCCTCGAACAGATTCCTTTGGGAGGAACAGGAAAAAGGAATGAGTCTGATGGATGTCTGCTGGTTACAAATAGTTTATCTCAGAAACTTAGAAATCATGTATTTAAGAAAATTTATGGTATGATATTTAACAGCTATTTATTCAACACCCATGGCTTCCCATGCCAAGGGCTCTATAATCGCTCCTCAGTCACTGCTGGTCTCCGTGGCGGCATTAACTTGTCACCCCAGCTCTTACTCAACACGTCTCTCCAGACCTGGTCTCGCCTGGCAGAGCCGGGCCAACTTTCACATGCATGAGCCGCTGTTTAATCACTTCTCCACTCTCTGCGGAACAGGCAGCCTTTTCTTTAGCCCTGGTCTACAAATATTTGAGGGGCCAAACACTCAGAAGGAAGACTTATTTGGTGTGATAGGAGGAAAATGGAATGGAAGGGAGAAATGGAAATTTTAGATTAAAACTGGAGAGAAAACATGATTTTAAGGGTCCTTCATCATGTAAAATATTGTAAGGCACCCTAGATGGAAATGGGAAGACTATCTCAGAGTGTTATTTAATTTACAGCTAAGCCAATGATCAGTGGTCACCAAATCTCATTTTAATAATTCATTTTTTATCTTGTTCCCAACAGACTTCCAAATAGTTGTTGCTATAAATAGCAAAATTGACTGTTATGTTTGGCTGTTTTCTTCCGACTAGATGGATAACAAGAGGATATCATAAGTCACCATATCAACATTTAGAGTAATTAAGAAGTGGCTGTTTTTCTCTATTTGAAGAAAATCACAGCTTAAGAGTTATAGATCCTTAGTTGGAATTCCAGATTTGCCATTAATGTTGTACCCTGAGCAAGTCATTAGACACTGACATTGGAGATTGTGAAGAACAAAAGAAACACTTATGCAAAGTCATTGATAAACAGTAAAGCACAATAAAATGTTTACCAACGAAGAAGTGATAGGGGAGAGGACATATCATCCTCAGGACAGGGACCATTAGCAACAACAGAGTAAGAACTAATAACACTTCACATGTTCTAGGTGCTGTTTTAGTGAATTATGCATATTAATTAATTTATCATAATAACTACATGGTGGGTACTATTATTTCCATTTTGCAGAAATGAAAGCTGAAGCAAATAGAGAAGTTAAGTGACTTGTCCAAGTTCATAAAGCTAAGGGAAAAAAGATTCAAACCAGAACTCATGCTACATTAAACTTGTTCTCTTATGAAGGAAGAGGTGATTCCTCACTTTAGAGAAAACCTGTCTTTTGATCATCAGATTAAAGTTAATGGGGTGATTTTTAAAAATTAAAAAAAAATCAGATTTTATTTATTTATTTTTAGAAAGAGGGGAAAGAAGGGAGAAAGAGAGGGAGAGAAACATCGATGTGTGAGAGATATTGGTCACCTCTCAACATGCCCCCAACTAAGGACCTGGTCCACAGCCCAGGCATGTGCCCTGACTGGGAATTGAACCAGCGCCCTTTCGTTTGCAGGCTGGCACTCAATCCACTGAACCACACCAGTCAGGGTTAATGGGGTATTTTTATCATTGTATTTTGAAAACCCATTTATATAGAGATGTTCCTCGACTTATGATTGGGTTATAATCTGATATACCTATAGTAAGTTGAAAATATTGTAAGTCGACAATGCATTTAACATAGTGAACATCATCACCTAGGCTAGCCTACCTTAAATGCATTCCAGGCACACTGTCCAAAAAGCACTGGCCACAGAGTGTGCTGCGGAGTATCAGTTGGTTACCCTCATGATTCCCAACTGGGTGCTGTGGCTCAGTGCTGCCCAGCATCACAGGAGAGGAACATCCTGCATATCACTAACCTGGAAAAAGACCAGAATTCAAAATTTGTAGTTTAATTTGTACTGCACAAGGGATTTCAAGAGATAAAATATAACTAGCTCTTTTGAGATATCAGAGAACATACTTTCCATGTTTTCCCTTCTATCCCTCAGCCCTTCAATTTCAGCAGACTCCAGAGTACATTCATCATTCCCTTACCCTCACAGGCCAATTCTTCTCTAGTATTTTCTATATTGCTATGGGCACTACCACACTCATACTCCAGGCCTGAGAGTCAGCCTGGATTCTACCCTCTTCTTCATCCCTTCCATTCAATAGTGCTAGTGAATCTACTCTTAACCCAATGTTTGCCCTCCTTCTTTACTGCTACTTTGTTAGTTTGGAACTCACTGTTTGTCACAAGGATTCTGGCCATGAGATGATAGTCAGCTCACTTCCCGTGGTGCTCCTCTGTAACCCAACTAGGTGATCTTTCTGAAATGCAAATCCATTGCTAAAAATTCTTATCTGCCTTTATCCTTCATGGTCTTATCCCTTCTTAGCTCTCTAGCTTCATTTTGCTCAGCATACACCACTATTTTAGCCACAGTCGAAAACTTGCAGGACCCTTGGTGAGCACGCACTGGAGTTTCTGACTCCTGTGCCTTTGCACGTGCTGTATTCTCTACCTGGAGAAACCTTCCTACCTTGCTCAGCTTCTTTAAAGAGTCTGCTGGAAAGCTGTACGACCCCTACTAGAAATACCTGGGGCAGGAAACCAACTGATAATACATGCTGTTTCAGCTGAGGATGATTTTGTTAGAATGTGTAAGTTTAACCTTCTGCAAACATTTTTGAGTTATTTATAATCAGGAAGTTTGCCTTTTTTCTCTTTTGTAATTATAACTTGACTTCTCAGCACTTAAAATATAGAAACATTTTACTGTGAATAAGCATGAAAGAAGAAAAACACTTTCCTTGATTCAGCCGTATCGAAGTGGTTTTCTTTTCCAAGAGAAGAACTTTATTTTTCCTTTTTGTTTCAACCTTTTAACACTAAACAATTATTTAAGATGTGGATTAATGTGATTTTTTTCATTTACAGAGAGATTGTCTAAATCACATGCATATCATCACTTAATTATTGTACTTAGTCAAGAATGGAAAAACCATTGGCACATTAATACCCGGATATGTTTATTATGAATGATGTCCTTGAATAGATTAAAAGTTATTAAATTCATAGCATATGACTGAGTTGAACTAAATGTTTTAGAATCAAGTATTTGTTGCCTATTTATTTATTTATTTATTTATTTATTTGATGATTTCTATCTTTCCTTGGATATAGCTTTTTAGTTTTTGATTTTTATTTTTTTAAAAGGTCTTAAAAAAGAGTTAATTAATTTATTTTTAGACAGGCAGGTAGGGAGGGAGAAAGAGAGGGAGAGAAACATTAATGTGTGGTTCCCTCTCCTGCGCCCGCCTCCTGGGGCTCCAGGCATGTGCTCTGCCTGGGAATCAAACCGGTAACTCTTTGGTTCATAGGCCCACGCTCAATCCACTGAGCTATACCAGCCAGGGCAGATATAGCTTTTTAAATACCAGCCAATGATTATTAAGCCTGGGAAAAGAATTCATTAACTGTAATTTTGGGTGCTGTTGTCCTAAATTCGTATTAACCCCGCCTTGCTTAATTTATTCATCATATGACTTATGAAGAAAAAGGACAGAGAGGCCTCACTGGGTGGCTCAGTAGATTGAGTGCCAGCCTGTGAACCAAAGGGTTTCAGGTTCAATTCCCAGTCTAGGGCACATGCCTGAATTTCGGGCCAGGTCCCCAGTTGAGGAGCATGAGAGGCAACCACACACTGCTGTTTCTCTTCCTCTCTTTCTCCCTCCTTTCCCCTCTCTCTAGCATTAAATAAGTAAAATTAAAAAAAAAGAAAAAGGAAAGTACTGAAGTATCAGTGAGCATATAGAGGCAGATACAGCACCTCTCAGACCCGCTCAGTGTTATTCATTAGAGTCTGCTTTCTTAATGAGATCACAGAACTTCATATTATTACCACTTACCGTTACCATTTTCTGTAATTCTGGGATTATGAAGAGTGAATGGCAATTCCAACTACCACATCTGTGTGCACTGATTTGAGTAATCCTTGGATGGTAGACTTCCTTTTTGCTCAAGAAGTGTTGAATCCATAGTCAGCCAAGAGCAGGAGAATGCTTCCTGAATGGGTTTTCCTTAGGTGCTAAGAATTTAAATGTACTCCATGAAAGTGTGACACATCTGTTTATTGAGGAGGTGTGCTTGGTTCTTTTAGGCATCACAAGATAAGTGATGGGCAAGTGCCTAACATGTTTAGTATGTTCAAAATTCAAAAACTTTATTAAATTCTAAAATTTTATCCACAGTTGATGAGGATTCACAAAAATATATTATCTTTCAATCACATGAAAGAATAGGTCTTGTCTTTATTTGACCTGTAAATGATAGAGTGCCAGCCTCTTGACACAAATAAGAATCTACTTTCTTGAGACACCTGCATTCTCATGTAAATAATACCTATGACTGAATTAGAATTTTATGTGAAAACTCTTAAAGTAACAATGAATTTGTCACGATTCTTTATTCTATCACCTTTCAGATTTTCCTATGGATTCTAGTAATGGAAACTGTCGAGGAGCAAGCAGTGGTGAGTACATTACTGTCTTCCTGGTTTTCATTTGTAGTCAAATTAACCTTTGCTATAACCTAGAAACTCAAGTCTTATTTGGGGACATTTGTGTCCTACATTTTAAAGTAAGCTTATGAAAATTATTTTTACTCATATTAATTTTATTTAAAAATTTTAAGATTTAATAAAATTGACCTTTGGTCATTAAAAATCCTATAAATTTTATGAATTTTGTGAATTTTAATGGATGTACAGACTTGTGTAACCACTGTTACAGTCAGGATGCAGGACAGTTCCTTCACTCGATTAAAAACTTCCTCAAGCTACCTGTTTATAACTACAAGCTTCTCTCACCATGGTGATCACCGATCTATTCTTCATTGCTATGGTTTTGTCTTTTTTGAGATTGTCATATAAATGAAATGATAAATGTTCCCTCTTTGAGATTGGCTTTTTTCTTAAACTCAGCATATGCCTTTGAGATTCATCCAAGTTGCTGCATGTATCCATTTTAACTGCCGAACATTTTATTTCTTAGATGTGTCACGATTTGTTTATCCATTCATGCCTTTGAGGATATTTAGGTTATCTAGTTTTTGTCAACTATAAATAGAAGTATGATAAACATTCATGTCCAGGTTTTTGAATGAACATAAGTTTTCATTTCCTTAGAGTAAATACATAGGGATAGGATTACTGTGTTATATGGTGAGGGTATGTTTAGTTTTATAAAAAAATTGCCAAACTATTTCCAAAATAGCTGTTCACGTTTGCACTAGCCATGTGTAAGAGTTTTAGTTGCTCCACATCCCTGTAGACACTTGGTATTGTCAGTTTTTAAAATTTTTTTACATTTTTAATAGGTGTGTAGTGATGGCTCATCATGGTTTTACTTTGTGTTTCCCTAATGGGCGATGATGTTGAACATCTTTTCATAGGCTTATTTGCTGTTCATATATATCCTTTTGGAGAAGTGTGTGTTCAAGTCTTTTGCCCATTTTAAATTGGGTCATTTTCTTTCTGTTGAGTTTTGAGTATTCTTCATATATTCTGAATATATGATGACTTTTTGCTGTTACTGTTTTTTGGTTTTCAGTTTCATTGATTTTTACTCTTTAGTATTTCATTCTGCTTGCTTTGGATTTATTCTATGGCTCCTTTTCCTCCTTGAAATAAAAGATTAGATTATGATTTGAGGCTCTTCTTTTCTAATATAATAATTTGATGCTGTAAGTACCCCTCTGAGATGGCTTTAGTTGCATCCCACAAATTTGGATGTTTTACTTTTATTTTTCTTCACTTTAAAATATTTTTTGGCTCATGCATTATTTAGGCTTGTGCTGTTAACCCGGCTGCTGTTTGGAGATTTTTGCTTGCTTATATTATTGATTTTTATTCTAGTTCCATAACAATCAGAACATACTTTGTATAATTCAGTTCTTTTGAATTTGTTAAGGTTTAATCGGTGACCTACAAAGTGATCTATCTTGGTGAATGTTTTATGTGCACTGTGGTAAAATGTATTCTGCAATTGTTATATGGGATATTCTTTAAATGTCCATTAGATTAGTTGATTGATACTGTTGTCTAGCTCTTTTATATTCTTGCCCCCTTCTGTCTACTAGATCTATTGATCACTGAGAGAATATTTAAGTCTCCAAATACTGTGAAATTTTTCATTTTCTTTTTTCAGTTCTGTCATTTTTGTTTCATGTATCCTGAAACTCTATAATTTTGGTGCATACACATTTAATATTTTTATGCCTTATTGGTGAATTAACCCAGCATGATGTAATGTTCCTCTTTATCTCTTGTAACTTTCTCTGCTACAAAGGTTACTTTCTTTGATGTTAGTATAGTCACCTCAGTGTTTGCTGGTATATCTTTTTCTATCCTTTTACTTTTAACCTATATATTGTTACATTTAAAATCAATTTCTTGTAAACATCATACAGGTGTGTTTTTTGTTGGTATTGTCTTTTTATCCATTCTACTAATCTTAGTCTTTTGATTAGTGGGTTTTGACCATTTGTATCTAATGTAATTATTTGTATGTTTATATTTAGACCTACAATTTTATTTTGTGTTTGTTTCCTCTCTTTCTTATTCTGGTTTCCTACTTCTTGCTTTCTTTTGGATTATTTGAACCTCTCCCTCTTTGTCTGTGATACATATTCCCATGAGATAATATTATATATATATTTTTTCAACCATTTATGCTTTTTCAAACATTAAATATGTTTTAAACAATTCAGGAGGAGAAGAATAACGTACTGCATTTACACATGTGTTTATCATTTCTGTTGTTTTTTGTTCTTTCCTGCTGTTCCTGGCCTTCCTTCTGGCATCACTTCCCTTCTGTCTGAAGAACTTCCTTTAGCACTTCCTTTAGAGCAGTTCTAGTGGCAAAAAGAAAAAAAAATTGTTTTTCTTCAGCTGGAAATGCCTTTATTTCACCTTCATTCTGAAAGATATTCTCACTGGGTGTAGGATTCTGTGTTGGCAGTTCATTCCGTGTTTAAAAAAATGTCATTCCACTCCTGGCTTCAGTGCTGCTCAGGGGAATTGGTGGTCCCTCAAATCAATGTTCCCCCTGCGTCAGCTTTTTAATGCTTTCAGGATTTTTTAATTTTAGTTTTTAGCAATTTGATTATGTTATGTCTGGATATTGATTTCTTTTCTTTATCCTGTTTAGGATTAACTGAGCTTCTTGAACCTATAAATTAATACTTTTGTCAAATTTGGGAAGCTTTCAGCAACTATTTCTTCACTTGTTTATTCTCGCACTGCTCCGTCTCCTGTAGTGATACAAATGCTAGAGGTTTTGGTATTGTCCCACAGGTCTCAGAGGCCCTGCTCATCCCCTCCCACATCTTTTCTTTTTCTTTAGATTAGATAACTTCTGTCGGTCTGTCTTCAAATTCATTGAGTCTTTTCTTGATTACCTCCATTCTGCTATTGAGCCCATACAGGGAATTTTTAATTTCAGTTATTGTAATTTTCAAAATTAAAACTTCCACTAGATTCTTTATTATATCTTGCATTTATTTGTTAAAGCTTTTTATCTTTCCATTCATCTCAAGGGTGTTCACCACAACTTTTGGGAGAATATTTATAAAAGTTGCCTTAAAGCTATTGTTGGATAACTTCAATATTTGTGTCATTTAATTGTTTTTTTCCCAAACAAATTGAGATTTCCTGGTTCTTCATATGAAAAGTAATTTTTTATTTCATTCTGGACATTTTGAATATTATGTTTTAAGAATTTGGGTCTTATTTAAAGGACAAATATTTTTGTTTTAGCAGGAGTCAGTTTAATTGGGTTTAGGCTGACTAGTCTTCTGTGAGTTGTGATTTCAATATCAGTTCCATTTTCAGATCTATCCAATGTATATGCTACGCAGTGGCCAGTGTGAAATCAAAGCAGTGATCTATCCCACAGTTCAGTTTGCAAAGTCTGTAGTGTAGTGTTTAGTGTCAGGTTCACACACAACCAGGGATGAGCTCAGCAGTTCATAAACAATTGAATGGGATCTTGCCCAAGCTTCTCCCTCTTTGTGATCTCCTGAGTACTTTTCAGTCTCTTATGGTCCTTTGGCCAGAAAGCTGAGGTTTAAGCTCATCCCACTTCCTGTTACTGCTCCTACATCTGAGACCAAGGGGTGGGAGGACAAAGCCACGTGGGCTTGCCCCAGTCTCTATCAATAAAGAAGGTTCCCTACATCAATAGTTTAGCCTTTTCAGGGCCTCCCTTCTGAAGTGTTGCTGCCACCAGTGTCCCAGGATTGCATGAGGAATAGGGCGCAAGATGATGACGTGTTAGAAGATCCTTTTCCCACTTCTTGAGTCAGATGTGGAGGGCTTCCCCAGAGCACTCCTGCCGTCGTGCCCACTTCCTGGTTATGGGTTGATTGGCACTTAGCTGGGAAATACCAGCGGGGTCAAAATGTTGAACCCATTACCAGTTTGATAGCACTGGTCTTCTTCCCCAGTCTTCCTGCTACTATTTACTTTTCAGAGGCCTTAAGTAGTGGCTTTACACATTCTGTTTAGTGGGAAAGACATAACTGTATTCAGTGGAAAGACATGATGACTTCTACTTACTCCATATTATAAAATAAACTTGCAAATGAAGTGTGACATATGTACAGAAAGATCGCAAATCATGAAAGCATGCAGCTCAGTTGACTTTTCACAAAGTCACTCCGAACACTCTTATGTAACCAGTTACAGATCAAGATGTAGACCATTAGTAGCACCCAGAACCTCCCTGTGCCTCTTCCATCCTTCCCTCCAAGCTTCTTCCCAAAGACAACTGCCAGCAGGAACTCTAACAGCATATACTAATTTTCCCCAATGTTGAACTTTTATGAATGGCATCCTACAGTATGCATGTATTTTTTGTGTGAATGTGTGTGTGGCTTCCTTTACTCTTACTATGCTGTGTGTAGCAGTACTTACAAACTTTCATAGTAGTCTATCATATGAATATATGGCATTTTTTTCATTCTAATGTTCCTAGATATTTGGGTTGTTTCTAGTTTTGTTTCTATGAATAATGTGGCATTTGTTTCTTTAAGAACATTGTAATCACAATTAGTTATTATATAATACTTTGATTCACTTTCCTCCAGTAATTAATTTGTCCTGATTTGGGTCTGTAGGTCCTGCCTACAGGATGGAAGCAGAAAATGAAATAAGATTTACAAAATTCGTAAACATTAAAAAATAAAAATTAATTTACTAAGTTTGTAAATGAGTTTGAAGCATCTATTTTCATTAGGTTGGAACAGTTTTCACTGTTGGTTTGCACTGACTCTTACTGGAGTGATAAGTGTTTGAGCTGAAGCAATGTCTGCCAAAGGCATCCCAAAAAACATTAATCTTTTAAAATTTCCCTAGTGTTGAGCAATAGCTCTATTTTAAGGATCACTCTGACTATTTGGTCAAAATAAACCAAAAAATCTCATTTGTGTAATAGTAAATTTGGTAAATCAAAGTTTCCAGCCAATTGTGTG